GTCTGAAGCTCACTCATTTGCCCAGTTGTACCAGTCTTTTCCTCCGGAGGCAGCAAACTGAGTCCCCGGGACATGCAAAAACGAAGGGGAGTAATTGTTGTGAGCAACAGGAGATTTTGCACGTGTTTACAAGTCTATCTCTCCTTTCGCCGACCTTCTGCCTTTTGGATGTTCCGACCTGTCCCAAGTTGGGGCGATGACACACCATCGACCGATTCCGAGAAACCCGGTGGGACCGATGAAACAAGCTGAATCCCCAAAACGCCTTCGTTTTAAACCATCGACATGCAAAGCCTTGAAAACCTTCGTTTTTGGTCTCTGTTCCTGGTCTTCGGTCAATTTGCTCGCCCGTGAGGCCTATCTCGATGGAGGAAGAGGGTGGGGTTTTCTGGGACATTTGGGCTCTGAGCAGCTCCACAGAGATGGATGCTTCAACTCCTGGTGCGCTCCAAATCGTTTTCAGAAGCACGATTTCGACAAAAGGCTGTAGGTAGATCCTTCACTTCCCTGTGGATTCCAGATTTGAAACCTCTTTTGAGCAACCGTCAGACACCTTTGGGCCTAGTGATTCGGTTCTGACACGGCCAGTTCTGACCATTTTTTTGGTATGTGAGTTGGAGGTCCAAATTGGTTGAGAGGGAGAGGAGCTCCTTGTGAGATTATGCCGGGAATGGCCATCATTTGCCGGGATAATTGCCCCTCCACAAGCCACGAGTGAGAAGTTGGAACACCCATGGAGGCAATTGTTTGAGCTGTCGACATCGCCAAATGTCCCCTGCATAACCCTCCAAGAATGAGACACAGACATGAGTGGTTGAAAGCCATGGAACTCCACCTGATTAGGACGGTCTCGGTTTCTCCTCCCGACGCACAGGAGGCAGGCGATTTTCAGATGGATGCCCCTTGGCTGTGCAGGTGAGACGTAAGTTCCGCCGTCCGCGGCGCCTGTGTCTCGGAGAGTTTTCAGTCCGCCAAACTGACGGGTGGTAGACCAGAGCAGGCCCAATTTGTTCACCTGTTTTCCAGTAATGGATCACGACGGTTGCCCCCAAAACCACAACATCAGTGGAAAAGCAGAAAGCTGCTAAGATGCCAGAAGAGCATTTGCATTGCATCTGCATCAGTGTGGTGCAGTCTTGTTTTGCCAGGGGAGTACATGTTCATACATGTTCATTGGAGACACCTCCTCGCCGCGGTTTGCCAGATGGAAGAACCCTATTTTTTCTTCTTGTGGACGTGGGCTCTCCCCTGAATTTGGCGCAGTGGTCCTTTGCTTTACCACAGCCTTAAAGGTAAAGGCAGATCCCGAGGTTCATCACTTGCTGTCAGAGAGGACTCACGACTGACCCAGCACCCCTCAGGAACAGCAGAAGCTCATGTTGGAACTGCTTCTGCAGGCGGGTGCAGAAGAGAGACTCCACTTCTGTCCATTTCTACCCGTTCCCGCTGACAGGTTGCCAAGGGCAAGAGCTCCAGTGTCTTGGAGTTTGAAAACGGCTTATATGATGGCTTTTGTGTAATTTCTTGATGAATAACCCCCCAGTTGGATTGTAACACCTTTCACCTTCATATTCTTGCAATCAAGATTCTACAGTATTCTTTTCAGAATACACAGATCAGCATTGCTCATCAAGTGTTCCGAGCACAGACCCTTGAACCCTTGGGCCTTTCAGAGCACAGACCGTCATAAAACCTCACTGACATACACTCCCGAAAAAAAAATGTTCCTCTACAAACCAGTGGTTGGATCTACGAAGCAGTGGGGTACGTGGGCGGAAAGACACCTCATGGTCGAAAGAGGAGGATGTTTGAGATTCGCAGCCTCGGACACGTGGATTCAGATCCTTAAAGGCCTGGTGTTCCTTTCTGTAGTTTCCTATCTTCAGATCCTTGGATCGGACTTTGGAATCGGAATCCTCCAACTTCTGGTGGAGCTGCAAGACTCGAAGACGATCACTCTCAAGACATTGACCCATTGTTCCAATTTCATTCACCGTTTGGGGGTAGCTTAGGATGTGGCTTTATGACTCTTTTCGAGCACCTAATGCGGAACATTTTGGAGATGTTCCTCCATCCACGGCGACACAGGTTCCCTACCTTCGATCCGTTGATACCAAGACCTGTCATGAACGGATTGAAGACCTGTCCACTGTCAAGGTTGGCTTCCATATCTTCGCCCCTCGGCATTGCACCGGCGCCTTGCTTTGTCAGACCAGTAACTTCCAATGAAGTTGATGGCATGGATGGCATGGTGGGAAGACGACATTCTGAAGAGCAAATACTATAAGGGCGATGTACCAATGCGAGTAGGCATGCGAGTAGGAGCTGCCGATCAGCGGGGGTTCTGTATCTTGAAATTGACTCATAGGAGCTGTGCAGAAGCAGTTCTCGGCTTGACTTGGCTTTGCTTCGAGATGTGGCGGAAAACGCTGGTGGCATGACCTTCATGACACATTGATATTCCTCAGCTGGCAAGCCCTCTTCCAGGGGTTGAAAGATGAGGGGGTCTGTCCTTGGAACAGATGTTTCTTTGGAAGAGGGTAGCAGACCTATGCTGCTATGCTCATGACTAACAAGAACAGATTTGCAGTTGGCATGCCAAGAAGGTAAACTCAGACCAGTCTGAGGTACTTTACCACGAAGCTTTCCAACTCTTCCGTTGTGGTTTACCGAGGAGGCACGCAGGGTTGTCTCAACCTTCCGGTGTGAAGCCAGAATCAAATGGTATGCTCTTGACCTAATGGCGATGGCCTCCAACCTAATAGAGAAGACATGAGAAGACATGAGATAAACATAGACAAACTCGAGTTAATCTATATAAGAGGTTTTTGGCAAGGACCGCTCGCAGGAGCTCTAGTAGGACATCTAGTCGAACCAGCTGTGGCTCGACCGGGGTCCGTGGGACTGGTATGGTTCACTGTGAATCATCAAAAAGCTGATCCAAGAGGAGGAAGTAGTGGGTCAGACTGTTGCATTCTTCGCCAAACGGTGTTTTGGTTTCTTTTTTTTCTCAGAGTCTTTGCTTGTGACCAGGCTTTTCGTTTCTTAGGCCTTAGGCTGTGAACCCAATGGACCACAGGAATACCCACGAAACAATTCCTTTTGGGCTTTGAGATCTTATTTGAAAAAGCAACAACAACCAATCAAACACCTCCTCCGCAGGAGAAGCGCTTCTTGAAAGGCACTTCGGTCGACACCTTGCTCGAAGCCTCCCACATCGCCAACGACCAGGCGAACGCGGAAGGGGGTTAGGATTCCTGTGGGGGGGGGGTTCAAAGGAAAAGAGTTGGGACATGTTGGGACTGTAAACCACTCAGTTTACATTCAGTTGGAGGATTTTGGAGGTTTCCGGCTGGTTTTGGGAGTTCATTCAGTTTTCTCTATGGTTGCGCAGATTGCTGGTTTTGATCAAGAGGGACATCACCTGTGTACGTAGCTATTTAAGTTAGTACCTTCTCCCTTCATTAAGTAGGTACTTAATGTAGAGAGAGGGTGCGGGGAGAGAGAGCGGGCAAATAAAAGTCGAAAGCATCGCCAGGACCTGTTGGCCATGCAGCGGTGGTGTCAGCAACACCCGGAGACCTTTGCCACGTGTCCGTCGCTTGAGCAGTCCGCTTCTTAGAGGGCTCAGCTGTGCGGGCAGCTGGGATATTCCTTTTATTCTGGCACTATATACCAGGAGCTGTTTAATGATCTTTGGCGCTTTTGCTTTTGGGCAAGCAACCCCCAAGGCAGAGGAAGGAACCGCTATGTGCCCGCGACCTATATAAATGTGCTAACGTCAAGTTCACCCGGCCTGTCGAAAAAGAATAGCACCATCAGAGCAACGTTGAAGGATGTTGCAAAACTGTGTTGTGCATCACACGGATCTCGAATCCGTCACCGGACCTCTCACCGACCTCCCCTCGCACCGAGCCATCCAAGCCAACTCCTCACCGACCTCACGGCAGTTCGCTGCAGCTTTTTCACCGGCACCGAGGCTCCGCTGGGCGGCCAGCGTGGTGGCCTCCAGGGCCTTCGACTCCACGCAGGCTCAGGCGTGGGCGAGGTGATCGCGAAGCGGTCAGCGAAGCGGTCAGGGTGGTGTGTGTTCATGTGTTGGTACATGTGTTGCTACGTAGGAGCGAGTGCGTAAGCTCCAAGCACCCTCAAAAAGCACTTATTATCTACTTTTTTTTCTTTTTTTCGGGAGGTGGCAGGGTGCAGATGGTTGGAGTGGTTAGGATGAGCATCTTTGTTTGACGCGTTTTTGGGTGAGAGGATGCGAGAGGTTGAAGGGCAAACAGACTCAATGAACAAGCCAATGGTAGGGAATCTATAGTTTCACCGATGTTGTTCATCCGGTGTGTTTTCTTTCTCATAGACGGTGGACCTCCACGCAGACCCCTTCGTCGTTTGTTCGTGCGTGAAACGAGCGGACGGGCTTTGGATCGGTGACCGGTGTGGATCGTTGAGCTGATCGATACGGGTGCCACCTCGAAATATGTTGGATGTGTATGGGTGTGTCCCATTCCTATAGATTAACAGTTGGCAAAGGATGTTTGTTGGAATAAGTTTGAGAAAGGCCTTTACTATTGAGCGGAAACACATTTTTTTACTGGTGATGGGATATAATTACACGATACACCAAATATGTCCCAACTTGGGTCTCTCTTAGTGAGAGAGCATGTGTTTTTGGTGTCTTATAGAAGCCACAGGCCAAGCCTTTTGGTCCGGTCTTGCTGACGTGATCCCATGTCACTGGCATGTCTGACGTGGTCGGTCCGGTGAGACATACCGGCAGGTCTTGCTGGCGCCTTTCGCCGATGCAGCTTAGCGGTATGTCGCACCGGGGCGCGCCGGTCACCCGCACCACGGCACGGCGCGTCAGAAGTCCGTCCTGAAACGAGTCACCACGGGACGGAGGTCGATGTTGATGGATGATTGAGGTATCCTCGCTATGAGGTCTATTTTTGTGCATCAGGACCCATGAGAGTATAATCATATTCCATTTCTATGAGAAACCCACGCTGCCACATGGCTCTTTAAAACCGCTTCACACACTGGTGATCCCCAGCTAGTCGTCATGAGTTGAATGTTTTCTTCACCTGCGAAAAAGAAGGAATTCCTGCAACTCCCCATCCGCTTTGGCGTAGCTTTTGAGCGGTTCTCCCACCTGCCGAACCCGCCGAAGAGATCCCCGCCGAACGTCTTGAGATCTCGAGGCCCTGAACCATTCGGGTGCTCCACACACGCGGATGCGCGATTGCCCGCTGGATCGATCGGGATGGGGGAAAAGGGCCGGGCGTTGCGCAAGGGCAAGCACGGAGCACGGGCTGATCACTGGTGGTTTTCAGCCATCTCCTAGCCTTTTTGTACATCAAGCGATGACACATGGGGATGGCTTAGTTTACATTTGGTTGTGTGTTTGCACCGTTATAGAATCAAACACTTCAGCGGCAACCATCAGGATGTTTAGCTGCAGGCTATGGGTTCAGAATGGTTCCGATGGAAGTCGAAGATTCCGTTTTTGTTCAACTTGATAGGATAGGTGAGAGAAGAACATATGGTGAACCATCAAATTTGTGTTTGTGATACTCTGATCTTCATAGGGTGGTTTTTTGACCACAATGCGGTTTTTGTTGCTAAAACTTGAACCCCCCCCGAGTCTTGGAACGCTGTGGAAGGGAAGGCGAAGCCGCTGCTGGTCTACCCCCCCCCTTGTCTAATGGTTTTGGTAGCGGGGTGGCTGAAACTCATCAGAGTTTTGCCCCAGGAACATACCAACTAGGCAAGTGGCACTTGAAAGTCATGGAATTCCAAGTTGCCTCCCCACATCAAGGCCAGTGGCACTCATAAAGAGAAAGGGGGAGAGGGAGAAGTTTGGCCTCAAATGCCACCTCTTTGGCTTGGAAAGATCTATCAACCAATGGCTTGCAAGTTCACAGGTGGTTTCAGGTGAATACTTCGCTGAAATTCACAACTTCGACGCAATGGCACACAGGGAGTGCCGTGGCCAAGCCCTAGGTGGTGATCACTTGCTCTTCCACACGGAGCGGCCAGTGGAGCTTGGGGAAGAAGTGATGAACTGCTATGGCCTTCAGGCATGGATTCCGTGCGTAGGCCGTGCCGTAGTGCGTGTGATACGAGGTTAGTGCAACCGTCTCTTGGAAGGCCTTGGAGGTTGGATGTGGTCCAACGATGTGGTCCATGATGTCCATCCAGCAATGAAGGCTGCTAAGCACAAGGTCGAGCACCGAGTAAGTGATGTCAAGCACTGAGTCATCAGTACAAAGTCCATGTTTCTCGTTGCTTTTCTCCCAGGTTTCCCACTTTTTTTCCCACTGTTCTCTGCCAGGGCAACACGCAGTGGTTAATGAACGGTGGCTTTCTGGATCGGTCACGGCCCTGCGACGACTTGCTGGTGACTCCTGCAGATGTGGTGTCTCGGAGCGAGGGGGCACCAGGCGCAGGAGGCGTAGGCGGATGGAAAGCAGCCAATGCGTAGGCGACGACTGGGTGAAATGCGTCCGTCTAAGACACACTGACTGGGCGCCTACAACCTGCATCCTGTGGTAGCTGGGTTCAGAGTCTTTGAAATGTCTTTTCTATTTTTGTTGTTTTTCAGCAATCTATAACACACCAGTATGAGAAGGTAGCACTCCAGTCACATGCCACGCATCCATCAACTGGCCCACCTCGAGAAAAGCAAAACGAGGTGAGTGCGGTGCTGGACTACCTCATGAACAGGAAGGCGGGAAGGTGCCCAAGGGCGCGGGTGAAGGGAAACGAGCTTGACAGCTTCACATTGTTAGTGGTTTAGCATGGTTTGGCGAGTTTCCAACTTCCATTTTGAATCATTCCTCACAATTATATAGCCTGGAATGCAGCAGAAGTGGCAGAAGTGCTCGTTCGAGCCAACAAAGGTGGGTCGGCCCAGGGGGGCCTTTCCCACAATGACATACGGTATACGTGTTTGTTGCCTTCTACTAGTTCAATGATTTCGATTTTTTTTGTTTTCTCTGAGACAAAGCTGTCCCACCAAAAGAAGCCGACGGGATTTGAGAACGATCCCGTTCAAACAGCTGATGTGAGGCAAGTAGGAGATCCAATTGCGACGTCGTTGCGTTTGTTTCGGTACAACCTGAAGCGCAACCCACGGTTGATTAGCATGAAACACACTGGCTTGACGAGCCCAACTGAACACGTTCAGCGATCCAGGTTTCGCGGGGATGTTTGACCCGATTCGTTTTGGACAGGTTGACAGTGATGAGGAAGACGAGCTGGGGAGAGATCCTTGCTGCAAGAGCTGGCATGGCATGGCTTTCTCACCTCCCAGCATGGAAATGCCGCTCTTTCAGTACTGGGAGCCATTGTCCTTTTGAGTCATGTGCTTGGGGCAGGTCACGGCTTTTCATCCATGACTGGAGGGAGATCCAAGTATTCGGCAGGTTTTGCAGGACAGGTTAGGACATTCTGCACCAGGTTAGGACTGGTTTTTGCTGAGAAATCTTGTTTGTGTATCAGCGTTCCATTGCGGTTGGCTCCTGGGGGGTGACTGGGAGATGACTTCTTGGAAACAGCGTTGCCATGGTGATTTGACATTGAAACAGTAGCAAGGGATGACAAGGCATGACTTTGTCAGGTTCCTGTATTGGCTAAGCGGCTATTGGGTGTTTGGAGCGACCATGTGGAACCAACCATAGCCACATCTCCCGTATCCCGACAGCAAAAAAAGTGCAATCTCGTAAAAAGGGAAACCAGTTGGAGGCAAAGGGCCTAAACAAACACCAACCGGTATTTCCAAGCTGGATCCAGATTCAACATGATACAAGTCACAGGCCAGCCAAAATAGCTAGTTGCGCCCAGGAAGCGACCCTATGCTCGAGATTCTCTCTAATGCAGGAGCTGCCCTACCGGGGCGGCCGCGACATGGCATCGGCAAGGTCCAAGTGGCATTCCAAGCCGCGCATGGTTTAAACATGGGAGCATATACCATTTTGAGGTCTTTGACTGGTGATTCAGGTTCTCCGATGAGGATGGCTGGCCTTGATCTCTCATCTAGAACGTTTAATTCAGCCAGCTATATTCTGAGAGCCGGGCCTCAAACCTGGAATGCAAACAACTCTGTGGTATTTGCGAAGGTTTCGGAGAGTCGGAAAGCTTGACCGTAAATGAACACGTACCAGTACAGTTATATTCTGGTTCGCAAGAATGCCAAGACACAATGTATTGATCAAGACTTATATAATTTATACGAGTTCTTGAACTATTTTTTTAGAATCAACCATATTTAAGACATACTTTGATCTCTTCAGTTTCTTGTTCAGAACATAATCACTATCACACATTTTTTTTTGGCCTTCACACATATTTTCAGAATTGAATTCAGACATGCAACATTGTCTTTGGAGCGCTGACTCCAGTTAAAACTCTCTACTCTAATCCCATATCCCTGCCGAAACGCTAGACATCTCTCCGGTTTGTGACCCTGATGGACTGCACGAACCGGTGGGTAGGGCAGCTAAGCCAAGCTTCGCAGCTTGGCCGCTCAGTTGTGGCGGTCCGTGGGCATCAGATCGCCTTAGGTGTCTGATGGATCAAGTGCAACGCATACAACGAGCGTCAACTAGCCACCTGTGCCACTATGCAACCCCCGGTCGCCCTCTCATCCCCCAACTTATAACGCATTCCTCTTGCTTTCCGAAACCATCCGAAACCTACCTGTTGGGAGATCACGCCTCCCGCCTCCATTGCGCCGGTTCCACTCCGCGTCTTCACGAGGAGTTGGGCATCGGAAGTGGCGGAGCGCTCTTCAGCCTTTCGATGGCTGAACTTCTTCCCGATGACCTGGCGACCATGATCTTGGCCGCTCAGAGATGGGCAGGGGTGAGGGGAGTTGAATTCGGATGTGACAATGACATGTGACCTTTGGGAAATTGATGCTTTAAGGCTTTAAGTCCTTCCAAGAGACCAAATCAAAGCATTTGGAATCTGGCAGATGAGATGGTTCCGCATTTTGACTATGCGCATGGCTGCATGATGATGGAGCGGCATGCAACCAGTTTGTAGCCTATGTCGAGTTGAACGCATTCAGCTCAACAGCTGCGCCTCAGTCGCAGCTGTTGCTTTTGTCGCCCTGCTGTTTGAGAGCGAAACTTGAATGGTAATTGCTGAAGTAGGGCAGGATGCGATACCAGTGCCTGCCATAAAGAGCCGGAGAGCAATGTCCAGAGAATAATACGACACCATACGACACCCCTGAGCTGGACACGAGGGTTTCACGAAGTGATGAGACGGTTTGGTTGAACCGGAGATGCCCATGATTGGAGGAATGCCTATATAACAACACTGCTCGTCAGCATAGCTGGAGCGCAGTGCAACATTGGAATCATTATGTTCATACAACTTCCATCAGCTTCTTTAGGTTTGCTTCCCACTGCCAGGTTTCAGGTGTCGCTCCGCCTGTGCATAATGTGTATAAGTTTTCTAGTATCAAACAAACTGAAGTGCAATACAACTTGTTGCACGAATGTATGGCGCAAATCCTGTGCGACTGCTCACTGGAAACAGGTCCTTTGCATGTCGGAGAAGGACTATTTGACCTACCAGCAGCAAAGAACTGCAGGCCCCTCTGGGTTGTTTGACGTGTTTCTTTCTGTCTTGGGTTGGTTTTGTTTGCTTCGTGTTTGCAAGACATGTGGGTAAGTATGACTATGGCTTGGCTTTGACCACTGTAGCAAGCCCATCGACTACCATTGGAAGTACCCGCAGCAATCAGATGCAAGTAGCACATTGCTGAATGTGTTTCACGTTTCTTTCGCCTCGTCCGCACAGCGTCAGACCGAAAAGAAGACTGTAGCAGAGTCCCGACCGAGTCCCGACATGGCCATCTGAGCTGAGCTCGAGCAATATTATTGCCTCAAGTGCCGTTGACCCTCCTGTGATCTTCTGACCAAGCACTGGACAATGTCCGTTTCTGGCTTTAGAGTTTTATCGTGCTTTTCCCGTATTGTTCCATTGCTGTTTTGTTTAGAGTTTAAAGTGGATCCACCATTTGTAAGGTAGACCGGGGATCAATATATATCAAACGGTTCTGAATTCTGTCCATTTGTGTCCTGCAACTCCCCAATGAGGAATCACTAAGCAAGCAAGTCAAGGTTTTTGTCTCACCCGCGTTCGTGCTATGCCATTTCGAGAGCCGGGGGATGGTGAGCGCTTTCTGCTGTGCTCCCTGCCGACAATTCCTTTTGCATCGGTGACAAATCCTTTAGCCTTTAGCTAACTCTTCGCACGACAGGTGGTCAGCAAGCTGTGATCGACCTTGCTGGCGAAGAAGGCCACATCCGAAGTGTCAGGAACGATTTCCACATCCAGACATGCAATGACATGCGCCTTTACTAACCATCATGATCCACTGTTGCAGGTAATAGGATAGACCCAATGCATCCAGCCAAAGTCAGTCCAATTGAGGAACTCTGTGGGCGCAATAGGTGAGGAACTCTCTGAGCCTTTGTTGGCGGATCTCTATGGCTCCCTCCTGTGCCTGGAGACTCAGAGAAGGTCGGTCAGGTCGGGAGTGGAGGTCGAACAGGTCTGGTTGCATAGGCTGACCATTCTCAACAGAAGGAGTTTTGATCATGACACAAATAGCCGAACTGCCCCCACATTCTTGGGGTCATTCACGGAAGGCAGCGCATATGGTCATATATATGGTTCCCTATGTTCCCTGGTTCCCGAACCAGGATACTGTGTTTTGCCAGGGCCGCCAGGGGATACTATTCTTTCACCATCCTACTGTATCATCCTGTACACCTCTCCTCCATCAAGCTTTAATCAGGCTTGGTGCAGTGGCTCCGGCGCCGCTACGAAACCACCTTGGAAGAGGTCGGTGTGTGACCGAAGAAGAGACGGCTGTTTTTGTCGCAAAAAAAACAAGGGGCATAGAAATCACATATGGTGTGAAGCAAATCACATCAAATCACACTCTACATCTAAGTTTCTATGTTCTTTGTTTTACTTGCCAGGTTTGTACTTGGAAACACAAAGCGTATGCTATTCGTTTCCAGTTCCATCACTGATATCCACAGGTTGCCTAAGACTCTTGGCTGAAGTGAGCGACCGCTTCGTGCTTCAAAAGCAGGCCAAGAGGATCCAAGAGGCATGTATCGATGATGGCCGCCCCACACTCCTGCCAGTATTGAAAACAGGCGACCCGCCTCTCCGTCTCGACACCTCACTGAAAAAGGCGTGAGTATGACCTGTGATGAGATACTGCTCACAACACCACTTTGCAACCATGGTTTTCTCCCTGCGGTGGGTTCCAAGCAGATGATTTGTAATGCTTTGTATAGTAACATAGTAGGATTTGTTTGGGAGATGTACAATTTGTTGTTCATATCCCCCGGCGCTGGCGCCAGGACATGAGGATGTTGGAAGAACTTCAATCTGAAGCAGCGAACTCCAAGGTCGGATGGGAACATTATGCGGGCATCGTTTCCACATTGGCGAAACATCACATCAAATCGCTTAACATCACATTGGCGAAACAACGCCGTGAACGACCTAGGGTCGATCTGCATCACTTGCGATCGAGTCGAACGATGAGTCGAGCGATGAGAAAAGAACGATGCAGTCAGGCGGACTGTGTCTGTGATGTTGTTTAGGCATCCAACTGGTTGCCTGGATGGCATCCATTCGAAGAAAACACGTTAGAACAACATGTCTTCGGAGCCATCCGGCCAATTCACCACCCAAAAAGACCGGCGAAGTCCCAAAAAGCTCTGGAGGCTTAAAATGCAAATCGGTTCAATGCAGCGGATGGTTTCCTGATGGCTTCCTTGTCTTAAACGTGCAGGGTTTTTGGATGTTGGCTGGGTCATGTTAGCTGGGTCCATGTTCCAATTGTGGCCGCTGTGGCCGTGGCATCTCAAAAGGATAGAAAACAATAGAACCGGCGAAGAGGGCCACCGGCGAGCCATGTTTCAGACGCTTTTGGGCGGTAGAGACAGTGGTACGTTCAGCAAAAGAATGTGTCTCGGCTCGACAGGATGGGGGGCTTGTGAACCGACTGACACAGGACCACAAACAGGAGAACCACTTCTTGGTTCCATTCCAAATAAGGGCACAAAGGGGAGGAGACAGGTGGAGTGACAGGTGAAAGCAGGTCGTAGGGGGTTGTCTCGCAGCAATTGAACAACCCTCCAATCTGTGGATGGTCTCTGGATCCGTTGCCCGGATCGGATGGATAGGGAGTTGGAGGCTGAGAACGTCACACACCCAGGTCCCTGTTTAGCGCTACGGAGGAGGACGAGATCGATTGCAGTTGCTTGGCCTGAGTTGATCAGTGCATGAAAAATTCTGGAGTGGGACAAAGATGGCTGACATTGGCAGACACTGGAGGTATTGACATTGGAGTCTTTTCTCCTCAGGGGGGTCTTTTGTTGTTTTCATTGGGGCCTATCGGATCGGCGGGGAAAGCAACCTAAAAGCAACCTGCTAGATGGTTCATGACACCTTTGAGGAGGCTCCATTTTTCGGGGGGTCCTGTTCAGCCTTCCACGTTTCGCCCCAAACAGCACCGGACCGACCTGGCCGGCAGAATTCCGGACCGACCTATCCGGGAGGGCCGAAAGAAGAGCGATGGCCTCCATCCTAGCAAGGATTGGGTAGATGGTCTCCAATAGCAGACACGGCCTTCATCCTCCAACCGGATTGGGCCGTCAGAACGGCGACGAACCGACGAAGCGACGAACCTGCGACCAAGGCAGCCTCCGGTTTTCCACGGAGGAGACGACGGTCCCGCCCGAAGGCGGGAGAAACAGCGAAAGACGAGGATGCAGAAGGTGGTGGAGGTAGAGACTGCAATTAAATGAAGGATTTTTGCAGACTATACTGAGTTATGCCGATTTCGACGGATTTATACTGCTTTCGTCCAGTGGCAAAGTAGCCAATGCAAGCATCAAGGCACAGTTCGCCCCGGGTTGGGGTGGGGTTCTCGCCGTAGTCTGTGACTTGGATGAAGATCGATGCCATGGGATGGAACAGTCGACTATGGCACTATTGGATTATTTTTGGGTTGTTCACCAGCTTAACCTGAGCAAGGCGATAGACACCACTCCCCAACCACTGGAGATGCAGGGATGAATAGTCAGACCGAATGTTGTCAGTTGACGTAGTGGAATACTTTTGTTGGCCTTTTGTTCGACTTCACATGTAAATGTAAATATTCAGGATATTTCAGGAGTATACTTGTCGACATCATCATACTCGGTCATACCCTCAGAAGGTACCAAGTATGGCTGACGTTCTCTTTTGCCGATCGCCAGGCGACGACTTGACGGAGCTGGACCTGGATGAAGGACGTGTCCGGGTCTTCAAAAGCCAAGGCATCGGCGAGGGGATCGTGGGGTACAGGGGCAGAGGTGTTCAATCTATGTTTTTGGCGCTCAAAACATATTAATATAAGTTCCCCGGTTTGTAGTAACAGGTGCCTTACTAGTAGTAACAAGAAGCTATTAGAAACAAGTGCCACGCTAGTAGTAACAGGTGCCTATGTTTGATTCAGGCATTTGCATAGTTCACCGAGACCGAGACCAGCACAGCACCGTCCAAGCTAACCTCTTGGCCACGAGGTTAGCTTTTTGAGGTTAGCTTCCAACCAAAAAAAGGGACATAAGGGACCATGTATCTCTTTGATATATGCTCGATGAACTTCCACATTTTAAGCCTTTTTCGGTGAGGATGCTGTTGGTGCATCGAACACACCGGCGTATACTCCCCTCCACCGCCGGAGAGCGAGCTCGGGACAGGTCTCTATGAGGAGATCAGAGCTCATCCCATCGCAGTGGCCGCACAGCCCAGGGAGCGCTTCGAGGCGGTGGAGAACAGCGGTTTGCAGTTGAACGATCTTATGTTTCTTTCCATTAAAGGAGAGAACATATACATGATTCCATGATCATTTCCTGTTACAAGAAGCGATGGATTTAGTCGAATAATAGTGTGTGTGTTGTTCCATGATGTTCCATGTACTAAAAGAGCTCCGCTCCATTCTTTTTTTGGGATGCCAATACCCCAGATAGTGGTTCCTTCGGTTTGACTCTTATCGACGCCTTCACGGTGTGGCTCGTGTGAGGACTTCCGCTTCAGCGTGGTCTCGGCGGGCTTCGAAGAACTCGTGGGCTACTCCAGGAAGGAGCTCCACAACAAGGAGAACCCACAACAACGCGCATGGGACGTCCCTCCGCTGGGCTGTCCGAGGCCGAAGGACGTGAGTCAGATGGGCGGGTTTGAGGCCGCAAGAACCGATTTCCACTGGCGGGCCGACCCATGGGCATGGCTGCAGCCACTGGCTGCAGCCACTGGCTGCAGCCACTGGTTGTTTTGGGGAGGTACTCATGTGGAGTTGTGAAGCCCATGTGGACTCATGTTGATCCATTTTTGTTGGGCTCAAGGGTGGATTCTAAATTAAAAGAGTACCTTGGTATGACATGTAAAGTGTGTTCCAACTTTGAACCCTACTCAGAGGACACTATATAGTATAGCATAAAAAGGGACATATCAAGAGCGCCGATTTTAGGCCAAAAAGAGGTGCCCTGCATTTGGACCCAGTCGTCCGTTTCCAGGGATCTGCAGGGATCTGCAGCGCCGCCGCCTCCGTTTCAGGAGCTGGTAAGACTTCTGTGTAAAGACAGTCTTGCAGCCTTTCAGCTAGAGCAGCTCAACTTTGCCATCGGCCGCCTGGACGAAGCAATAGCATTGCAAAAGCTTTTGTGATCGGCCCCTGTGTTTGTCCATTGAAGCAACTCTTTTGGTGAGGCTCAAGATATGTTCATCGAAGATCAATAAAGCTCTTCAAAAAATCAATTGCTCTTCGGCTCTTTTTGCGGAAAAAGCACGACCATGTCCATGGGATTTTGATGTCGGATGCTTGTGACCACGCCGCGTGGTCTTCTTTTTCCGATGCCAGGCTCGTGCAGCCGAGTGGTCTTTCGCCGGAAGAGCGGCGACCTCGTGGAGGTGGTCGTGACCCTTCGCTGTGTGAAGGGCATTTGCATCTTCATGTGTGTGGAAGTGCACCTTGGGCCTCCAGAAATGGCGGAGCTGCGCTGGCTGAGCGGTGTTGGAAGGGGGGGTTCTGGGGCTTATGGGGCTTTCAAGTTGGTGGACGGTGGCGTGAAAGGGGGTGGTCGCCCAGCCACGGAGATTGGGGCGTTGGCATCGTACCAAATCAATCCCAAGCTGCTGATCTGGGTGAAGAGTGGGGATGTTAATTTAAAAAGTTGGACAAATGCAGCTTCGCTTTTCCGAACATGACAGATAGCCTGGATCAACGGTGACCCACTCAACCGCCTGGTCAACCGAGTGTGTCCGACTTTCTTCACATTGATTTTGTTCATCAAGGGCAACCATTCACTTTTGGCCGTTGGGGTCCGGGGGAGCTCAGAACGCTTTCTGAACACTCTGGGACCCTGGGACTTCGCGGGATGACGCGAACCAACCGCGCAAGGTTGGATGGCCAGTATGATGCCGCAGAAAAGAAGCTTTTTGAAGAGATGAAGGACATCAACGACGATTCATCGCGAGGGTCGCACTTGGAGGCACCACGGAGGTTCTACCAGGTTCTAAGGGTGTGCCCAATTACCAGTCCGTGCAAGATTATCATTTTGAGAAAGGCATACTCACCATCATCATCCACTGTAACTGGTAATATATTCGAGTTCTACTGCTAAGCAGGTGCACTTGGACGGTTTAGGGGTCCAGAGGTCAAAGTTGAGTGGCCTTTCAGAACGAAGTTTGGGGGGCTAAAGCAGCAAGAAAGTTCCATCCTGAACAGTACCATCCTGGACCAGGGTGCTCTGGCTGGAAGAACACTATATATACATCCACTATCCGATATTTGCAGCCACAACATCCAGACATGACTGGATTTGACTTGTGTTTGGACTGAAAACTGACTGAGTAAAAGGTGACTCGGCAACGCCATGTGACTCGGCGAACGGTCAGGGAGATGTAGGACTTTGCGCGTCGGAGCATGTGTGCCAGGAGTTGCAGGACAAGGTCGTACGTTGCGCAGCCGAGTGAGAGGCTTCGAGAGGTTGCCCTTAGCCGGGTGCGACTGCAGACTCATCGGCTGAGCGAACTTCTTGGAGGGGGGTTGACTCAGTCCAAATCCACGTCATTGAGATCCCAAAGTCCATATTCAACAGGGCAGATAGTGATCATGCACACTACGGCTCAGCCAGAGCGCAGATCCACCTGGAGCTGCCGACTGCCGATGTTTCGGAGGTTTCAAGAGATTTCAAGAGAGAGAGAGAGAGCTTTTCTCAAGATGCCACAGGGGGTTTACTGGCTGACTTCAACCTCCACCCTTAAGCAGAATTCAGCTGCGACATTCCTTTCGGCGAAGACTTCCCTTGGGCTGACGGAACCATGGAGTGATTTCCCAGAATTTGCTTTTGCCAAATGGTGTGAGGAAATGATGGAAAATGCATCAATCGGCCATAATATCACCAACATGTTTGTGCCTCAGTGGGCTTTCATGGATTGCCCGCTTACCTATACACAATAAATACAATTCTTCAACTAGATGCCAGTCAATCCCCTGTGCCCTCGCAAGTCGTTTAACTCAAGGGTGTCACACTGGGTGTCACCTACCAGTTTTGCAGGCAGTGCGGCACCAGGATCCATCCCTAAAAAGGTCGTTGTCGATGAGATCTGGCTCGACCTTTGGCGATGGGCCCGGAAGGGAGATGCTCCTCATCACGGAAGCCGTCCTGTGAAGCCGAAGGCGTTTCAGTGATTTGGGAACATCTAAGCAGTTTTTTTCCTCATCCGAATGTGTACTCTCCAAAAATGCGTCCTGAGTTCGGAACATCGAGATTGAACGCCCTTTGAACGCTGCCCAGATGGTGCCTTCTGATCCTCTTCCGAGCAGGTGACATCATTGAGTATGGTAGACTCTTGCAGTTCATGACATTGATGATTTGCAGTTCGTGGCTTCCTTGGACTGACTTTGGCAGTTCTGCACGCGAAAATGGCACACTCCACGTATCTCCACGTGCACCTCCAGGCGTGGAATCGCAGAACATGACTGCTCAATCGCACGCCGATGACCTTTGGGAGCGAAAGTTCCTGCACCTCGAAGGAAGGTGTTTGGGAGCGAAGAAAGCGGCGATTGATTTTTTTTTTTATGATTTTTGAAAACCTATACTGTATATGCTAGGCCAAGAAGATGAAGAAACGCGGCGCGGGGGAATTTTTGTTGAACCCGAAAGTGCCGGCCCTTTGAGTAGCGTATAGTAGAGTATTTGTGGATTACTTTCAAGGATCCAAGGGCTGAGATGGGCTACGGGCATTACTACTAGTAGCAAGAACTAGTAACAAGTGCATTGCTACTGTACTAGTTTGCAAAGGGCTCTTCATCTTGCCTTGCGCCAATTTAGATTTGCGCCAGATATAGCGGCTCCAATTCGCAGCGCCCGGGCCTTCCGGACATGAGCAACGTCCGACCATGAAAGCTTGGCCCAAGGCATCACCACCACACGCGGATTTGTTCACTTCTCCCCAAAGCATTCTGGCCAAAAGAAGACCAGATTCAACTCAACTTGATGTCATGTATGGAATCCAGGTGGGGTCGTCCATGCTTCCGTCAGGGGCCCCCCCAACATCTCGAAAACGCGGGTGACTTGGAGATGACCAGGTCTACAACTGGACCTTCGGTCGTCCGATCACGCAGAACGACCGCAGAACGACCATTCAACGGGCCATGTCTGACAGGGCCGTTGAAAGGAGCCCTTGAAGAAAGATGCCCTTCTTTGAAGATTGCCATAATCTAGACATCGCTTGTTCAATAACCTAGGCAAGTGCAAACTGGACATGAACAAGTTTTGGTTCATGTCCAGTTTGCATTGTCCAATGTCCACCATCCTTCTTGGCCTTTTGATTCCAAAACAACGCTCCGGAACGGACACCGGGTTCCGGACACCGGCTCCCAGGTCTGAAGATGCTTCAATCCAACGATCTATCAAGAAAAAGCCGTTTTTTATTGAAGCAACCCAAAGATTGGTCAGTTTTTTTTGAAACCATGGTATTTGATTAAATTTGTATATATCTGTATTTCCCACAAATCCAGGCTTTGCTGATGTGTATACCCACCAAGTAGCCTATACAATTTCTTCATTGAACAAGGACTAGGACCAACGTTTGGGGAAGCCCCCAAGTAGACTGAGGTTGCTTTTTGAGGGCAATGTTTTGCCCAATTTGGAGCCATACCCACAGGCTTGTCTCGCAGAATCGGCTCTCTGGGCCGTCAAATGGACGGGTGACGGTCGCCGTTGCGTCACGACCGGCCTCCAGTTCGGGCAAGTTTAAGGGGTCGATCGAGTTGCGGGTACAGCGCTGACGTGCGCAGACCAAAAGAAGCACGGACATATGTCGATTTTTGCATTTGAGATGTTTGTTTGGACATCATATGGACATATGTGTTTTTTGATGTTTATCTTTTGTGTTTATTATGTAATGTATGTTTGTGCGCCGGTTTGCTGCCTTTTGCTAGTCGAAAAGGATTGCATTACACTGCATTCACTTTAAATAACAGCCCGCCTATTTCAAACCGGAACAGGGGAGGGATTCAGATGTATTCTCGGATGCATTGCATTGTTCAATTAATAGCATGTTTCATTTGTCAGATACATTTATCAGATGCATTCATTTATGCGCTTTATGCATGTAGTATCATATATATAGTTATTGTTTTTTTGTTTAAAACCTCCCCAACACTTATCATCACTTATCCGCTGATTTCTATAGTGCAACTGATGCAGTAACCAGCCACCCCTCAAGAATCAAAATCTCAGCGGAAAACAAGCAAAGTTGTCCAACACCATCCTAATCCAATGCTTAGGTTGGGACTGGAGGGTGGTGAAGGTGGAATCCGATGCGTATTCTTTGTCTATTCTGTTCTTCCCGACGCGTCGATGCGGTCACGACTGGTATACAAGGCATTCTGCCATGTACCCGAACACATGTGAGAGGTCCACATGAAAAAAGCTAATTAAGACTCAGCGCTGCCGAACGTGAACTCCCAAGCAGCCGGCCGGGCGGTCGAGACCCCGGCGAGAATGCGAGCAAAGCGTATCTTCTCATCTCTGTCTATTCTGTTCATGTTCGGTGGTCATATCTGAACATGCACCTCGAAATGCAAACCGAAATGGGCCCACTGTGATCCTGTTCAACCAGTTCGGCAAGGGCCAGTGTGTAACAACAAACATGTTGAAAACCTGAAGGCGGCATGCCGCAGTTTGCTTCGAACGGCTTCGAAACATATGACCGACAAATGCACAAATTGATGCAATTCTTGGATGCATGCTCAGCTCAGCCTGGCCAATGTATACCGTGTTCATCCATGCTTGGTGATACAGGATCTTATGGTTTGTCAGTTACACGACGTGACTCTAGAAGACCCCAGGTTTCAAGGTGTCAAGAGGACCCACAATTTGCATTGCAGTGCCGCTTTGGCGCCGTTTTTTGTTCGCTTGAAGCTGCCGACGCGTCGTCGGGAGAACTTACACCAGGGAGCTGAAGGTTGATCGAAGCAAAGAACCACTTCTTAAAGCATCTTAAAGCACTTGATGATACCATGCCTCAAATGTCATCAAGTTCTTCAAGTATCAGGACCCTTCTTACAGGGTTACTTGGATGTCCTTTTGTTGTCCAACTAAGTCATTACCCCAAGAATCCGGACCCGAACCAATGGAAAGGGTTTGGAGGGTCCAGAACCCTGCTATGCAAGGTCACTCAGGTTTGGGTTTGGTAAAAGGCAGAACATGGCAAAGACACTTTCTTTTATTGACTCAATACCTTGCAGATATCATGGACGTCGTCCATGACCGCATTGAGATCGGTGACCTGGAAAATCGGACCATGCTGGAGGGTCCAAGATTGGACATGTCAAAGGAGGTTGACCAAATTCACCAAAACGAGTTTTAGGCTCCCAGGATAGCTCGCTCCTCACAGGAGCTACGACGTAACGATGCGTCACACGTTGCAGCGTAACGCGTTGGGCGATGCCAGTGCCGGTCTGGAGTGACTGGTGCGACCCGTCGCACCAGTCAGTGAAGGAATTCTGAACACCCCCCTGTCAGTGAAGGAATGCAGACAAGCGGCGTAGAGGTCATGATGCTTGACGTTTTCATTTTGGCACCTATGGAATGGCCTCTCAATGCCTCTCTTGATTTTGGGTTGCTGCTCTAGCTACCAACAACCCTAATCACGACCCTGTTCAGTTAAGTATTTTTCTAGTAGGTCCACGGTTGCGTGATTTGGACTTCGGCCCGGCACCACCCACAACGCCCGAAAAATAGAACGATCCGAGAAGCAAAGCTGATCGGACAGACCAAAACAGATCCAACCCTGGACGCAAAAATCGGGACGCACGAATGGGCTGGGCTGGGCGTGGGCGCGCGCGGGCGGTTCGGAACCAGGTCACCTCGTGTTCCTTGAAAAAGTAATACTACATTTTGGATGGTGTCCTTACAGTCTTTGGTCGCAGGAAGGACATTCCTGCTTCATCGACGCCCCAAGAAGTCATGGAACACCACCATCGGTGTTGGGTAGTGATGAGAACGGTGAAGAGAGGTGGGATGTGATCCAAGTTCCTCAACCGTACAGGCTATGAGACACACCTGGGATATCCGGGGGGAACGTCTTGCACGAATGCCCCACGATACCCCAAGTGGTCGTGTTTGGATGGCGTTTGGGGTGGTTCATACACACCCCTTACCAGCAATTGGCACGGGTCTCTTGATATATGGTATGTAGTATGATCTACGTTTCCCATGGACTCTCGAGCGCGCGTGATCGTATGTAGTATGATGCTGTAGTATGGTACTTGTATATATTGCTAAAGCATATCATTGCTTTGATAAACTTGTTTCAATGCGAAGGACCCAAAGAACCATCAGAAAGAGGTTACATGTTTTCTATTTTTCAGTTTCTTTCTTTTGCTTGTTCCAGCCCTTGGCAGTTAAGGTCCTCAACATGTCAAGGAATAAACAGATTGCAAGCCACTTTTTGAGCAAGCAATCGTTTGTTTCAGGTTCAAGAAGTTCTAAGCTGCCTTGACGATGTTTGGATTAGAGCCGCTCCAACCGTCGGCGACGGCAGCGGTCGACGGCAGCTCGGAGGGCGCCAAGCGACGAAGAATAGAGGAGACGGCGGAGGCGGTGCCTTGGCAACCTTCCCTATGCACCCAAACCCTTCAAATTTAATATTGTATATAAGTATATATATATAGAGGTTCGATGAAATAAACAGGGTGTCTGCAGGAAACCCGAGGTTTTCCAAACCAATACAGGTTTAGTACGGGTACCTGATGTCTTAAGAACAACCCCCGGTATTTTGGATTTATACACAAGTAGGTGTCCCTTGAGATCATACACATTGGGGTTTGGGTGCGTAGGGTTTGTTGGTAAAGCTGGACAGGGAGTAGTAGACTAGTAGAACAGGTAAACCATGGACACCCTCCAACTTTTTGTGTGTATTGCATCCATTCTTCTGCACGTCCCGTGTGCTTGGTATGTTTTGGGACAAAGCTGTTCTTTCTCACGTAGACATTTTGTATTCGTGCCGCTTGGTGGTGTGGAGCAGCCCGTCCTGAATGAAGAACACATCCCTGTGCTGAGTTGCGTTTGGAGTTCAAGACGGATCAGATAGAACCCCTAACAGATGGTTGAGCCGGATCAGCCGTTCAGATGGGATCTTTGATGTCCTTCATAAGAAATGGCCACTCCGAGCGAACCATCCAGAACTGACGACTTCGTTTCAAGTTCTTCAGATTGACGTTCTCGCGACGGAAGGGGCTCGGGAGCGAGGGGTCGTCTGCCTGCATTTGATGGGCGTTGCGAAATGGACACCGAAATGCACCCAACGTCAGACGGGTGAAACCAGACCCCACAGGTGAACCATAAGGTGAACCATGGTGTGAACCATGGTGAACGCACGGTGAACAATGGATTGTAAGCTTCAACGCGGAATTGATCGAACGGCCTCAAATTGGTGTTTATCACTGGGTTTAAAGCAAAACTGTAGAAACATAAACATGTCAGAATCACAAACTAACAGGTCTGATGGATGCCAATGCCATCATCAGCACCTAGCATTTGCTTTACTCAAACTTGCGGGGGAACACCCGGGAACACCTCTCAACATCTCATAAGCGTGCAGCTCTCAACCGTCTCGTATGTGTTGTGTCTTATTGTGTCTTTGTGTCTGCAGACGTCGTGGCGATCCACGTCGGCCACCGCTCCACGAGAAAGATGGCGACCTTTCGATCGTCGCCCGAGGAGGAGAGCTCGACCCTTCATGGTGTGCGGCCGGAGAACGCCCAGAACATTTTGCTCCTGCGCATCGGTGGGGCGCGTAAGTTCCGCCCGGTTTTTGGGTGATATCTGCGAAACGAAGGGGACGCTGGCTGTGGTTTGTTCAGTGGGAATTTATGAGAACAATCTTGTTGTTGATGAATAACACCCAAATAAGTAAAACACAATCCCTTTGGTTTTTAGTGATCAGTGAGAATGGATTCTTTTCCAACAATGACTCCAGTGTCCAAGCAAATGGAGATCGAACTTCTCCTTCGGCGCTTCTGACTTGCATTGCCGAGAACCTTCGCAGTTAATTATTCTAATGTAATCATGTAGACTGTTGATCAACAACATCCCCCGTCTCCAGAATGGTTTAACAATGTTTAACATCTCCACAGCTGCATGCGCTGTTTTGGACATGACTGACAAGATAGGTCTTTCTCTCTCTCATCCTCAAAACAGGCGAGTCCACCAGGCGGAGTCCACCGGGCCAGGTGAAACCGGTTTCAACCCCCTGAGCGCTCTTCGTCTTCCGTGAAGAGCTGAAGACGAAGAGTCCCCCCCCAAACCTAATAGCTTCTTGTTACTACTAGTAAGGCACCTGTTACTACTAGCGTGGCACTTGTTTCTAATAGCTTTTTGTTAGTACTAGTACCTTCGCTGGATCTGAAACCGGTGCCCTTCAGGTGAGAAACACCGAAACCGTCGCCGCCCTTTTGACCATCGGAAGGAGTTCTCGCCGGGGTGGCAACGGTCCCTGACCTGGACCAGGTCAAAAGCGGGTGTTACAAGCCCTGGAAGAGCAAGCTGAGCAGTGCTTCGCAGACTGACCAGCGAAAAGAGGCACACCGTTACCTCACGATATCACATTTAAAAATAACAACACATATGGACACAGAAAGACATACAATGACCAAGAGTGTACCTTCAGGTTCCCTCTAGAAGGTTCTTTTGTGGGCACCACAGCGTTCTGCAAGTGTGCCTAGACGTGACTAGATAACAACAGCCCAAAGAAAGGGTGCTCTTCCACCAGGCCTTTCACAATGTGTATTCGACCAGACACACTGAAGACGATACAAGGTTGTCGGCAAGGTCAGTGGGCTATCTCAATGCTACCCAAAGTATCCCAGCAGCCCTTTTTCATTGACCCTATAAATTTATAGGGTTTGGGTAAGATATCTGATCAGCAGGCAACCTGGCATCATTGGGGTCAGTCCCAGGGTCCAAGATGCTCCAAGGTGCTATCGCATGGCCGGCATCGTTGCGACCCGCAACCACAGGAATGATTGCTTTGGTCATTCGGGAGCGCTCATATTGAAAACTCACCAGTTCTGGTGATGGAAATACTAAAACACCCTCAGGGACAAACAGACTCACATAAATTACTAATCATGTCACGCATGTCATGTCTGTTTGTTTGATCATGTTTTTCGATGTTTTTCGCAATGTCCATTTTGCCTGCAGCTTGAAGCTTATACTATATAGGTGAACATTGGCACATGTCTTGCAGTCTTGCAGTGTTGCAGCTAAGTTTGTTTGACTGCAGTGTGATGTTGTCACGTAGTATTTGCAGCAGATAAGGACGGTTTAGACTTTGCTTGGTTCCTGCCATGAGCATTGTTGTAAGCTGTTACACAGTGTGTGCTGAATACCGCTGAACGGTCTCACCAGTTAGCCTACGAACACTACACCCACATCTGATTTGCTTCGCTCGTTCCTTGCCATGAAGTTGCTCCACAAAGAGTTCGAGAAGGCCTGGCTTCAATGATTTTTTCCATTGAAGAAAGAATGACTGTGACATGCTAGGTGGCTATGATCACAGTGGAGGCCCTCTATATGCATGTTTGGATCAACTCTTGAATGTCGCCTCCCATTTTGGCTCCATCGAAACTGACATCGTCACAGCAATTTGCATTTCGCCACTGCAGTGATGGGGAAAGAATATATCGTATACAGTTGTAGCTACCGAAGAATTGCTTTGTGCGGTCTGGTCATGCCATTCCTTCGGCCTTTTGCCCAGAAGGCTACTGAACTTCACCCAATCCGAGCATCTCCGTTCGCCCTGTGGAAGATGCAAGCAAGGGCACTGCCTGACTGGGTGGACACTTGATGTTCCTTTGTAACTGTTCAGATGCTCGCTCTCTCTATATATATACATGGATTTTATCATCTATTGTAACCTCCAAGCCCAGGACCCTTTGAAGAAGCAATTCAATTTTGAGCACTTGAACTTGTTGATGGCATGTGCTTACTGCAACTCGCCAAACAGCACAGAAGATCCAGCCTGGTTGGTTTGCTTGTTCCATTTAAGGACTGAGGAAGCATCAGAAACCCAACATTGCAACACCCCAGGGTGAATCTGCCAAGTACTGCTTCATGGCTGCTGTGCCTGTCTCCAGTGGGTGCAGCGGCTACAGCTCTGGCGAAAATGGGCGAGTTCGCCTGCGAGCTCGAGCAGGCGGGAATCGTTCCTTGGATGGAATGTGCATGAAGGTGCGATGGTTTGAGCAAGGACCGAAAGGACTTAGGGATCCAAAATTGGATCCAAAGGTCGCTCATTGGGGTTTGCTATTTACTATATTGTAACATAAGATCTGATAATATCTGATAGATACATTTCCCCGAGGTTGTCCAGTTGGCTATCATTAGCTTTGTCTTTTGTTCATCATCCATTGTGCCAGTCTTGGCAAGAGATGGTACAAGGACTCTTCAGTGCAAGCTTCATGAAACTTCAATCAGCAAGCTGGATTTGTTGAAAGGATTTCATAGGAGTTTGATTTGAGTGCGATTTCCACTAGGTCCAACTTCTTTGTAGGATCACGGAAGGACAACTCCTGCGGATTTCACCCGGCGACGATGAAGTCGCGGATTTAAGCGGAGTCCCTGAGCGATGAAATCGAGATTGATTGGAACATATTGGAACCCGACCAACATGAATCTCAGACTTGCTTTCAGGCGATTTGAGGGAGAAAATTTCAGGAAAACCGGGAAACTGGGAAACTCCTCCAGTTTTCCTCTATAGATGTTTCCCTCTTTACATCCTTTAAACCATCAAATAGAAGCAGTTTGCCAGGCCTTTACATGCCTCAAGTGCCGGTGCCGTTCCAGCTCTATGAGGCATCCAACTCGAGCACAGCACCGAACAGCGGTACCGCGGGCTCGACGAACGTGCATCTGTTTCTTTTTTTGCATACAAAGTTTATTTTTCATGTTTACCAGTTACTGGGTGAATCCCTCCTTTGTGGCAAGATGTTGGATGTTGTCCAGTTCCTTAAACAAATCCGAGAACATTGTAAGTATTCTTTATGTCTTCTTGATGCAATGGGTTTTACACCACTTGGAGCCTTGAAGAAATCCAAAAGGCCGCCGGAATTTTGGGGTTAGAAATTGTAAGGGCTTCGCCCGGGTGCCGCCGACCCCTTTTCAAGAGGAGTGTAGCAGGTGCAGACAGTTGCAGTGAGCATTCCACGTTTCAGCCGCGAAGCTGGAAAACAGGACAGAATTCCGCCTATGCGCAACGCAATAGATCAATTCAATTGTTCTTATATATAGACTCTGTAGTCAGAAAACTTGGCTCAGGTTTTTGTAATGAGGCATGTATTGTGTAGGGGAAAACGCCTCTGGAACAAAAAAAACCCAGATGCAGACGGCGCAAGCCATCCTAGGCAAAAATCGTGACAAGGAATGGGAAAGTACTACTCGGGGATTGGTTCGGCGCCATCTACTTTTACAATCCGTTTCGTGAAAGAACGCCATAAAATTTTTGGCCCTGAAAGCAGCAAGCTGCGCCATCTACTTGGCAGTATCTATTGGCTCAACTATCCTAATCATGTTTCACACAAGTGTTGTGCCATCTACGGGGCTATTATCGTGCAGCGTTCTGTTACTGTTTCAAGTGCAAGTGCAAGGAAAGGGAAAGGTGAAGGGAAAGGCAAGGGAAGGATAGAGAAAGGCGAAGTGAATGAAGGAAAGGAAAGAAGAGAAAGGCATCCAAGGAGAGGGAAAGGAGACATTAAGGAATGGATAGCAAAGGAGAAAGGAAGAGAAGGAGAGAGAGAGAGAGAGATAGAATATGAAAGAAGGAGAGAGAAAGACAGTTCAAAGAGAAGAACATGAAAAACAGTTGGAATTTAACAGAGAGGTTGTCTACAAAAATCAACGACTTATATCAGTGTTCTTTGCAGAAGATGGCGCAAGTCTACTCTGTGAATGGGTGGAATGCCATCTATTATGCTTGAGGATGCATAGGTATATATCTTGTTTTCCACGGTTTGCCGCGTGCGCTTTTGGCACTTTCTGGTGCCATCGATTCGTTTCCGGATATAGCCATCTAGTCTGAACAAGGTGTATATATATCAGTGAAGTAATTATGCACCTATTTCTATATACCCATATAAGGCTTGGGGGACCCTATTCTGACGCATGATGACGCATGTGGGCGTGTATGCGTTAGACCGTTCCCTTTTTGTGGTAGCCTTTTGGCACAAGTAGCCCTCGTCAAACCCACACATGATATTATCACCAAGACATTCATAAGCAACTTGACGTTCCTGGTGAGTGCGTGTTCCTGCCATGTTGCCTGGATGACGGCTCACACGAAGCAGCCGCCTGGAAGATCCTGACCTGTTGGGGGTGGGTTTGGGAGGTTGTCTGAACTGTCCGGGAGGAGCTCTGAGAGTGTGAGTGAAGGCCCAATGTCATCCGGTTGGTGGAGTGAGCTTGAAGCTGTTCTGAAGGTGCTGCCGTTGCGTTCTCGCGGGGCACATAGGCAAGAAGAAGAGAGTGGTTCCTGACGCCCGTTTTGGATGTATGAGTTCAATATCGATGGTGACTGGGGGCAGAAAGGTGGTGGTGTCGTGAGCAGGTCTCAGAACGCCTTTGAGTGAGTGCGCAGTGTCTTTCTAGCTCAACTATCACATGAGCAGTCACAAACCTCACCTCTGTGCACCAGTGGTCCTTAGCATTCACACTCCTTCAATCCCCACTGGACGAGCCAAACCCAGACCCCCGTAGCCTGTCGGGGAGACCGCGTGGAGGTCGGGGGGGCTGCTCCACCTTTTGGGCCCCGTGGTGGGTGAGGTGGGGCTACGAGTCACCAAGGCTTTCGTCTGCCTTGGGCGGTGACGAGAAGGTGGACTAGGTGGGAATTGGGTGGAGCAGGTGGTTCTGAGCGGTGAGGTTGGGGAACGAGGTCTTTGCTCCGGTGAAGCAAAGCCAGCATTCGAAACGGCCGTGGTTGCACACATCTTTGGAGCTCAATACTATCACAGAGCTCGGTCTGGTGATTTCATGGAGGCACTTGCCAGAATGTTGAGAATTGCTGAAGGTGGGAGACTTCCTTGTCTAGATTTACCTGGTTTGGCTTTTTCATGGAGCTGGGAGGTTGAAGCTCCCATGCCAAAGAGGGGTTTTCTCTATAAATGGTCCAGTAGTGCGTTGACCACAGAACATGCCATTTCTACGGACATTCGGCCCAATGAGTTTCACCATGTTTCACCAAGCAAGATGCATGATATCAGGCGCGTCAGCTCCCGCCATGTGGGCACTATAGCAGAGAGCTGGGGATTCATAAATATGCTAAACAGTCAGAAGTTAATTTCTTAGCTCCTCTCCTCCCATGCAACCCCTTTGGACTGGGATGCCTTAAGTTCATCATCATCTCCACAGACAGCCTGCCGTCGCGCAAACGCCACATGGAACCACAACAAGACAAGCAAGCACAGCCGACGCCCACCAAGACCCAGCCCTGCACACAGACAACGCAAGTAGCACAGGCAGAGCCTGCAGCGAAGCGTGCAAAACACGTGTCGGTGAGCAGCCAAGCCAGGACAGCGCCGCCGCCACTACGAAACTCGCATGCAAAGCCGCAACAAGAGACGCAAGCCACCCCGACAGCCGCGCAGACGACACTCGCACCGCCGGCAAAGTTGGCTGGACAGACGGCCGCCGAGGAAATCTTCCATTATGCGTGTCCTTTTTGAGAGGTGTCTGTCACCAGCACTGTGCGCACAGGCCAAGTAAATCACCGCCGTGTGTGCGGGAAGTTTTTTCGTGTCAAAGACGGACACGTTGCCGCGAAGAACTTAGTCTATGCGTGTCCATTTTGCAATGGAACTGTGGCAAGTAACGTGAGGACAGGGCAGATAGATCACCGAACCGTGTGCGGCAACCAGTTCTGTGTGAAAGAAGGCACGGTTAGCACGCAGACGCGGCAGCATCCGCACACATGCCCAGCGTGCCAGACTGTGGTCTGGTCATCACAGTTGTTTGGGCGCGTTCGGTGCCAACACAACACGCCAGCGGGAAAACCATGCCCGAAAAACACGTGGCAAGTTCAAGAGCGCAAGCGCGAAACAAAGAAATAGAGTATAGACCAATCATCCGGAAGCCACGCAACCACCGGGCAAACGGGAGCCGCGCCAGGCTGTGTTGCAGGACTAGGCCAAAGGTGCCGGGAAGGGTTTGACGGTGCCTGGAGGACCCCAAAGAAACGAGGTGCAGGCCGAGGTGGCAGGTTCCAGAGGTCAGTTCTAAGGCTGCAGTGTACGGTTCCAGAGGGTTTCGCGCTGGGGAGGGTTTGAACGCTGCGGAGGGCAGGCCTGCTGCCGAGAAGAGGGCAACGCTGCGGTGCAGGAGTAGGCCAAAGGCGCTGCCGAGGGTTTGAAGGCGCTGCAGAGGGTTTGAAGGCGCTGGGGAGGGTTTGAAGGCAGTCCAAAATGTCTAACGTCGCTTTTGGAAGCCCATAAGAAGAGAAGAGGCAAGCCTGCTGCCGAGAAGAGGGCAAGGCTGCGGTGCAGGAGTAGGCCCAAAGGCGCTGCGGAGGGTTTGAAGGCGCTGCGGAGGGTTTGAAGCCGCGGGGGAGGGTTTGAAGGCGGTGCAAAATGCCTAACGTCGCTTTTGGACGCCCATAAGAAGAGAAGAGGCAGGCCTGCGATGCAGGAGTCGGCCAAAGGCGCTGGGGCTGCAGTGCACGGGCTGCACGTTCCAGAGGCTCTCTCCCCAGGCTCCCGGCTGGCGCAGGCAAGGCTGCGATGCAGGAGTAGGCCAAAGGCGCTGGGAAGGGTTTGAAGCCGCGGGGGAGGGTTTGAAGGCGGCGCAAAATGCCTAACGTCGCTTTTGGAAGCCCATAAGAAGAGAAGAGGCAGGTCTGCGATGCAGGAGTAGGCCAAAGGCGCTGGGGGGCTCCCGGCTGACGCAGGCAAGGCTGCGATGCAGGAGTAGGCCAAAGGCGCTGGGAAGGGTTTGAAGTCGCGGGGGAGGGTTTGAAGGCGGTGCAAAATGCGTAACGTCGCTTTTGGAAGCCCATAAGAAGAGAAGAGGCAGGCCTGCGATGCAGGAGTAGGCCAAACGCGCTGGGAAGGGTTTGAAGCCGCGGGCGGGGGTTTGAAGGCGGTGCAAAATGCGTAACGTCGCTTTTGGAAGCCCATAAGAAGAGAAGAGGCAGGCCTGCGATGCAAGAGTAGGCCAAAGGCGCTGGGGCTGCAGCGCACGGGCTGCACGTTCCAGAGGCTCTCTCCCCAGGCTCCCGCCTGACGCAGGCAAGGCTGCGATGCACGTTCCAGAGGCTCTCTCCCCAGGCTCCCGCCTGACGCAGAGGCAAGGCAAGGCTGCGATGCAGGAGTACGCCAAAGGCGCTGGGAAGGGTTTGAAGCCGCGCGGGTGGTTTAAAGGCGGTGCAAAGTGCCTAACGTCGCTTTTGGAAGCCCATAAGAAGAGAAGAGGCAGGCCTGCGAGCTGCCGAGAAGAGGAAGAGGGCAAGGCTGCGGTGCAGGAGTAGGCCAAAGGCGCTGGGGAGGGTTTGCAGGCGCTGCGGAGGGCAGGCCTGCTGCCGATAAGAGGGCAAGGCTGCGGTTGCGATGCAGGAGTAGGCCAAAGGCGCTGGGGATGCAGTGCACGGGCTGCACGTTCCAGAGGCTCTCTCCCCAGGCTCCCGCCTGACGCAGGCAAGGCTGCGATGCAGGAGTAGACCAAAGGCGCTGGGAAGGGTTTGAAGCCGCGGGGGAGGGCAAGGCGCTGGGAAGGGTTTGCAGCCGCGGGGGAGGGTTTGAAGGCGGTGCAAAATGCCTAACGTCGCTTTTGGAAGCCCATAGGAGCACGGGCTGCACGTTCCAGGGCTCTCTCCCCAGGCTCCCGCCTGACGCAGGCAAGGCTGCGATGCAGGAGTACGCCAAAGGCGCTGGGAAGGGTTTGAAGCTGCGCGGGGGGTTTAAAGGCGGTGCAAAGTGCCTAACGTCGCTTTTGGAAGCC